ATTCTGCCACCCAGAACTTTTATAAGCCCTTTACCTGTCAACCAGTATTCTTCCAGCCATAAATAGTGGCTAATACTGCCTGCCCCTCATGATAATATTTATAATGGTATTTTTATTTATATATTGTACTATCCTATGAATAGTGCTTTGCGGTCAGGAGAGTAGTCCTTCCATATGTTAATTTTCCATCAAACACTGAGTTGAGAAGGTGTCACACTTCCCTTGCAGATGAGGAAATGGGGAAGTTGCACAATCAAGAAAAGTTAATGACTTGGCCAGTGCAGGAGACCTAGGCAAAAACAAAAGGTTTCTTTCTAATTCCAAATTCAGTGTTCTTTCTGCTAGAATGTGCTGCCTCCCTCCAGGACTGGTGGAGGATACTGGGACTTGTCCTAAGGCTAATGCTTTATGATTGTTTCTTCACTCTGCTTCACTCAGCACCTGCTGTACCAAGTTGTGTTTGTAAGTGGCTTAGTGTTAAGTTTACCCAAAAAGGCAGCAGGGTCTAAAAGAGGAGACTGGCCCCGTCTGGCATATGGAGAGGCTATGAGAATGGTGGTCATGCTGTTCTCACCACTCCTCCATTACAGCCTGGTATCATTTGGTACTTACTTTGCTGTCTTTTGCAAAAAGAAGCATAAATCATTTAATGTAGAGAAGGGCAAAAAGTTGCTAAGAAGTGTTCCTGGGGATTGGTCTTATAGCTTCAACTCTGGGAGGGTGCCTGACTTTACGGTGTCACCTTAGTCATTAAGAGCAAAGAAATCCAGGGCTTCAGACCTTCAAAATAATTACTTGCTGAGATGGCGAAACAGTTACTTGCAGAGTTGCTTTAATGGCTAAGCCTTAAACACAGAGTTTGTTAAACTACAGGTTAAATAGTAATGATTTTTCACATGACCAAACCACTGAAGGAAATTTACACTAATTTTATTTTATTTTTTTTTGGTAAATGAAATACAAAAAACAAATGGCCTGTACTAATTTCTAAAGCCCCTACCCTTTTCAGATTGAGCCAAATTAGAAATTTAAACCAAATTGATTGTAAATTAGGTATTATTCATTTTCTAGCTAATTGACTTCTACTACTCAATCTTCTAAACGCAAAGTCAATCAGAGCAGTGCTGATTTTGATAAAGCGTGCGTGATGATGCTAAAGGGCGGGCAGAAGGACTGGGCAGGCAAGTCTCACACTCCAAGGCTAGCCGGGGTGAGTCTGTATGCTTTTCAGCTGCATTTAGTTCTCAGTTATTCCTAAAGTGTCAAATGTGGGGATGGGATGACCTCTGTGAAACAGCAGCTTATAAAACTCACCCTTTATTATCAACAGACTAGACTTCATATTTTGCACGGATGCCCCCCGTGCACACCTCACCTCTACTTTGCACTGAAAGCACAATAGTGTAATGATTGGTTTTCCTTTTGAGACTGTAATACAGGTAATGTTCATATTCAAATTTGTAAACCAAGACCTGACACATAGTAGGTATTTAAATTGTTTTTGATGTGACCAAATTTATATAGGAAAAAAAAAAGAAGTACACCAATATTTTACTTTTAAAAGTCATTTTTTTTTTAACTTTTCACAAAGGATTTGCTGTAAGTCTTCAAGTCATCCTGTCCAACCCAAAAGCTGTATTTAAGCGGCGTGGATCCCAGCCAGGGATGCAAGAGTCTGACTTTCTAAAACAGATAACAACAGTGGAAGAATTGGAACCAAAAGCAAACAACTGCACCAAGGTATTCATTCCGCTTGTGCTGCCTGACCCTGAGTGTCGGCGTTGAGAGTGTGCTACTTAAAATATTTCCCTCTCTTTTAGGTTCTCGTGTGGCACACTCGGACAGAGAAGGTTAATCTAGCCAACGAGCCAAAGTACCACCTGGACACAGTGAAAATTGAGGTATAAAATCAAAGCAACTGGTGCAGTTTGCCTGGCCAAAGGATGTGGAAGAGGATGTTTGGAGTTTAGACTGCAGAGATTCAGGTATTGTTCATTTTCCTTCAGTACAACAGCCTTTATTGTCACCTGATGGACATGTGTTTAAACAGTGCTTGTCAGTTAACACAAGCTAACTGGACGGTACAAAACGTATGTTTTGTCTTCAATTGTTCTGCATGTTTTCCCTACAACTAAATTGGAAGATTTTTGTATATACAGTTATATGACACTGCAGGATACCATTCTGA